TGAGGGGTACTATGGCTGGTGACGATCTGATCTTACGGCCAGTTGACCTTTCGTCTTTCGACTTTCTTTCTTTCTCTTTCTGCATGTGTTTGCTGAATAAGGCGTCACAAGGAGAGCGGCTGGAGATGGCGGCATAGGATGCATAGTCTCCTCTGTTTACTTTCATCTACCCAGGCGAAGCGGTGGCTCAAGTCTCTTCGGTAAGCTTGAACTCCCTGGGGTAGCTCGTTGGCACGTTCAACGAGATGTTGCCCCACCATCCCGATGTTGGAGAAGTTTAGGGGGATGGCCGATTGGTACCTTCGTTTGCCTGTATTGGTGTTTTGGCAGGCCCTTGAGGCTGTTAGGGCAGGTAGATGGAGGGAGTTTTGTTCCTCCCTCCCGAAGGTGAAGGGGTTGGGTTTAAGTGAGGGTAGATGAAGGGGAGACAGAGGGTTTTTCTTCTTACGAGATGCTTCACGAAGTAACACGGCTGTAAGAAAGGAAGGAGGGCAGCTTCCCCCGTTCATAACCACAATTTCCTAATCCACGTGTGCTAATGATTGATTGTACAAGGGTGGATAGTAAGAAGATCTCAGTCTACGATTTACTGATTCGATTTTCTGATTCGATTTCCTGATTCGATTTCCTGATTCGATTTCCTGATTCGATTTCCTGATTCGATTTCTTTCCGCTGTCTATTTGGTACTCTTATGAATTTCTCAGTTTACGATTTCCTGATTTGTTTTTCTTCCGCTGCTCAATTGGTAATCTTCTGATGATTGACATGCTTAGTTTAGACTTCAAACCTCGTATTGGAATTCCTATAAAAGCTTTCAAAAAAAAAACTTCTGATTCTTGAATTCTTTCCTATAAAAGTTCTTAAAAATATTCTTGAAATATTTTCCTATCAAAGCTTCTAAGAAATTTCTGATTCTACAACTTGAAAGGCTTCAAAAAAACTTTTGTTTCTCGAAACATTTGCCTATAAAACCTACTAAAAATATTCTCGAAACATTTAACTATAAAAGCTTCTAAGAAATTTTCGAAAAGATTCTTCAAATAAATTCCTAGAGAAGCTCTATAAAATTTTTGATTCTATATAACCGCAAGTCTGGTTCTGGAGACCTCAGATAATTCTGATTTTGATCAAGGAAGGAGGGGGGGAATTAAAAAGGGGAGGATGGGAGGAGAGGTGGCCTTCAATCAGAGGATGGATGTCGGTGAAGGGGAGTAGGTCAGGAGGATGAGGCAGGGATGACATGGGCTGGTGCTGGAGCTTGGCTCTGTGACCCAGGGGGGAGCTTGAGGCCCATGGAATTATGCCGAGGGTGGAAGGTATAAGCAGTTCGTCCAACGCAAGCGGCGCCACGGTTCTGACCCTGTAACCTGTGTAGGGGTTAGTTGCTATGGGAATTGTCGAGGGAGAAAGGCACTTCCTATCCAACAGATCTAGGTTGGTCGGTACTGGGGAAGGTTGCGGTGCCCTGTTGCCCATGCAGAAGGGGGTATGAGGCCAACTGTGTTCTGGTTCGAGGACCGAAAGTCGAGACCGACGGCTCCTTTGTTGAGGGGGTGATTTTAGGCTGGTTGGTATTTAGTTTTGACCTTCCCCCCCTCTTTCTTTCCTTTTACAGATGGCTGTTCGGGGGTCTTAAGAATGCTTTTGGGCTCTTGGGATCCCTAGCAACTCTTCTTAGGTGATTTTTGACGCTGTTATTCTCAGGGACCTATGGCTGCTCGATGCCAGAACGACGCTGGCCGGAGCTGGGGTGTTACCCTGTGACCTGTGATGCAGGAGCATGAGGCCTGGTAGAGAGATCTGGGGATGCTTAGGGGTGGGCATCCCAGGGAACAGCTAAGGTCTGCTGCTGGGACGACGCTGGTCGGAGCTGGGGTGAGTTGTGTCACCCTGTAACCTAGCAGGATGTGGGGTGTGAGACCTGAAAGAGCTCGGCAGGGAGTAGGACAGTGTTGAAAGGCCTCGGAAGGGGCGTTAGGGAATTCAAGGGTTTCTGAGCATCTCTAGGACGCGCCAGGTCTTCTTCTATGTTTGCAATTACGAATTTTTACGTAGTTAAATCCAATTCTAAAAAAAGGGGGTAGTCTGTTCTGTCTTTAAACTATCTTCCGGATCCTGGGGTTTCCTGACAATCTCTTCTAGGTAGTTTCAAGGCTGTAATACTCGGTGACCTAAGGCTGTTCGACGCCAGAACGACGCTGGCCGGTGCTGGGGTGTTGCCCTGTAACCTATTGACGCAGGGGCATGAGGCCTGGTAGAGAGATCTGGGGGTGCTTTGGGTGGGCATCCCAAGGGACAACCAAGGGTTGCTGCTGAGACAACGCTGGCCGGAGCTGGGTGAGTTGTGTTGCCCTGTAACCTAGCAGGATGGGGGGTGTGAGGCCTGGAAACTCGGCAAGGAATACGACAGTGTTGGAGATTCTTGAAAGGATCTGTTAGGGATTTTGCGGGATTGGGTGTTTTTTCAGGAATTTTGCAGTCTATTCCCGTACCTTTTTCTGAGTAATGGGAAGGAAAGGGATCGAGAGAGAAAGGTATCACGCGTCCTGCTAGCGAAGGGGCTAGCTCGTAGGACAGAAATAGGGCATAGCTGCAGTAGAGATGGTGGTTTTGTTGCAGTAAGTGTTGCCGGAGTGGGGTGAGGACTGTTGGTGGACTCCCGAGTCTTCTTCTGCTTTTTGTTTATCTCTGAAGTCCCTTACAAAAAAGCTCTGAAGTAGCTCTAAATTCTGTCTCTTATACACATCTAGATGTGTATAAGAGACAGGTATATAACTGACACAATAACTGAAACAATACTTC